AAGATTTCACTTATGGGTTGTCTAATAGATTCAGACTCGTGTTGGTGATTTTTCGAGTGTTACACTGTGCAAATGTAACAGACTTGCGTTTTTAACACCCCATCCCCCCCTCCCAAAAAAAAATGCTTCAAGCTATTTTCAGCGTAAGGAGATGCCGATTGTAAGAGGGAAAGTTCTTACCTTCCATTCGTGGCTCAATCAGGCTATGGAAGATATATTTTTAGGCCGTTTATTCTTAGTTGAATCTGTTATTCCGCTGAGCAAATTGTGAAGTCTTGAACGAGTTCACGAACCCACAGGAGAATGGGCTGAACAAAATGGCAGAGGGCAAAGAACACAAATTTTGAGGCTTCCCGGAGGCTTCCCCGTACGAGTCTTCCGTATACTTTATGGCCACAGCAAAGGAAACAATGTGTGAATCCAGGTCTGTTACATTTGCACAATGTAACTTTCGAAATTTCGCCGTCACGAGAAATCTATAAGACAACCTGTAACTGAAATATTTATTTATTATTTTTATTATATTTTGGGGGTGTTCCGTAGAGGGGGTCTGTAGGGGGAGTCCATGGACCGGTCCATAGGTAGTCCGCGGACCCGGTCCGTAGTGGGGATCTGCGGACCGGGGGTCAGTGTTTTCGGGTTACCCCCCAAAAATCTTGTCAAGAGATCTAGAAACTTTCACTTTCGTGGATAACACTTTCTATACGGTTAACATTTCTTTTTTCGGCTAACGGTTAAAATTCTCCAATTTTCATGCCTAACGGCTAAATTTTTTGGTCCCGGTTTACGGCTAACACCCCCATTGAGACCCTCTTGTGACATGTGATAGTCGTGAGTATAAGCACTAGGTTTAATGATTCTTACTCGTGTTTGTTCTACGATCTAAAAGTCCCAGTTACCTTGTTGCTCCAATCGTGAATTTGAAGCACGTTTTAACTGTTGATGTATTCTGTAACTAAAAGCGAAGTCTGCCATCGGTCCAAAGAGGCACACACGCCGCCCGAGTTCATTCCAGTTCCGAGGCAAATACTGACTTAGAGGACCGGTTCACGGTGAATCCTCGCACCCCACCCTTTCCAAGCGTTTAGCAATTACGCCACTCCCCAGTGAATACGCGCCACTGTATTTGTCTTTAATTGTTGCCAATTAACTCTGAAGTTCCGGCCAAACGATCGCAACATGTCAACACAACATATCCCAACATTGTTGGCCCAGCATTTGCAAGCTCCGGCCAAACGATCGCAACATTTCAACATATCGCAGAAATGTTGGGCGCAACATGTTGCGCGCGTTTGGCCACCTTGTTGCGACATGTTGGGTATTGAAAATCGAACTAGTGCGCATGCCCGGGTGTGACATTGTTGCACGAACCTGGCCAAACGACTACATCATGCAACATTCACAAATGTTGCATGAAAAATTTGACCATTTACAAATTTGAGTCAACAATACCCAACATATCGCAACATGGTGGCCAGACGTGCCAAAAATGTTGCGATATGCTGCGTTGAAATGTTGCGATCGTGGTGTGAAGG